CCCAGTAAATCCATCCCTGCCTATATATGATTTGAATGCTGTAAAAATGGGGGAGAATCGTCTTTTTCCAAACTCGTAAATAATTGACCAAAATGAAAACTGCCTTTAAAGTGATATTAGTATTTAGTTTGCATGCATCTACCGCTTAGGGCCGAACTCACGATTTGTGATTCTGGAAGATCGCATGGAAAATAGACATGCAATACCCAAATATATATAGAATATTACAGACATATACGTACCAAATTAGAATACGCGAAAAATTGCGAACTTTATCGTTTATAGGAAGGAAACCAGTTATTGAGACTAATCGCTCATCATCATCACAAAACTGTACTCTACAAAGACGTGCGCGCGCATATTGTTGCACACGACGTGCATTATGAGCCTTCAGAAAGTGATCAGGTATGGTGTTGACATTTTCATTCTTGCTTCTATTCTTGTTATTCTTGATATAGATTGGTTTGTTTGTAGTGCTGTGTCTCCATGCGCTGTCCTGTCCGAAATCAGCGGCTCAGCCGCCATTTTTGTTTTCTTTGTTTTTGTTTCCTGAACATAATCAACATAAGAAAATATGGAGAAAGGTGCAGCCAGGTTGAGATAACACAAACACGTTTACTGAAGACCACAATAAGGTGGTCGAAAGCTCGTAAAATAAATAATAATCAGTCAGAGAATGTGTTTACCAAATTTACAAATTTATGATAATCAAAATTGCAATTGTGTCCTCTACATGCTGACGTGAAGTCGCATTTGCTTGACAATGCATAGGAAGAAAGTTAGTGTAGCTTTAGAGTCTAAAACAAAGTTTAATATGCGTAGTTTAATATACATAGTTTACATACTATAATAACTTCCAGGCATATAGGACTGTATGTCGTAATGCACTGTAGACTATGGATAAATTATGTTAGAATTTTCTAAATTTAACAGGAGTGTGGTACAATGAAAGTTTCGGGTTATGTGAAAGGCCGAGCTCTGTCAGCAAACCAGCTTGTTCATATCCCTGGATTTGGTAATTTCCAGATGAGTCAGGTAATGTCTCAATCAATTCCATGGGTGCCCAACACCCCCCCCCCCCCGGGCGTTTGTCGGGCTTTTGTCATTTTGGCGAAAAAACGTTGCAAATGCCCCAGTATGGGGTCCAAATAATGCAACAAAATCCACACCCTTGGGGACTTACATTGACGCAAATGCCCCACCCTTGGGGGACAAAATATAAGTTTTCTGAGGATTTCTGATCCAAAAAATCGAATCCAAGCTCTATCACGTATCAATATATCTGTATTTGAAATCGATTCTATAGCCATTTCGTTTCAAAACGTTTTTAATTAAAATATTGAAGTCTCAAAACTTTATATAGCAATATCAAACTGCAGAAGTAAGTCAATGTATCAACAGGATGGACAAGAAAAAAGTCTTGTGTATGTCCGCCATGATTAATTTGCGATACGCACGCTCGTGTAAACATGCGTACTAAAGTACGGCTAAATGGCGAAACAAGCGATAAATATTCGACTTTTTAGCCTCCAGCAAATTCCCCACCCCGGGGCTAACCTGCAGAAAGCAAATGCCCGACCCTGGGAACAAGTACAGTTGAGAATTCCCGACAAACGCCCGGGGGGGAGGGGATGGGCAACCATGGAATTGATTGAGACATAACGTGCACTGCGTACAGATAAAGTGTAAACAATGTAAAACGGTTGTAAAAGAAGTCTTTTAAAAAATAACTTAAGATTGGTATTGTTGATATACATTAAAGGACATTTATTCAGGGCGCGACTTACGGAGGTACCGAGGTACGCCAATGTTACTGTTTGGTCGTATACATGCATGTGTGCGCGGTATAAAAGGACCAGAAGGACCAGGTGGACCCTTGGACAAGGAAATGTCTGTCTCTTACTATCTGCGTATATACTGTACTTATACATTTGCTTTGCCATATATGACCAGCAAACTTTCCAAGATTACAGTAAGTACAACCTTTGCCAAAAGTTCGTAGAACAACTAAACAAATTCGCAACTTTTTAATATAGCCTACTTGGGTTTTAAAATTATATTGTATACCTCCCCACAGTCATTGTTGCTTTCCCACATTTCTACATGTAACTTTTGCCTATACAATATGTTAAACCATAAATATAGACGAAACGTCAACATTGAATGGGAGGGAGGGGGGAGGCCTTGAAAATGCACAAAAATGTATCATCGTTCTACGGTTTATGGCCAAGATTGTAGCTATACTGTATGTACAGTATGTGCGAATTTGACATGTCTGCGCATGGAACATAATTGCATGGTCAAGAGGGCACTATAGGGAACATTAGAGTCAATTGCATGTGCTTGTATTATATGCAGTTGTATTCATTCTTGTTCTATCTCGTAGTTTCCGGTTACTGAAGGAGAAAACTGTGATTTGTGTTAAGTACGCATATATATACGCGGCAATAATCATTGGCGTAAAAATCTTATCGCCCAGTACGTTTATAAAATGTACGGTTTAATTTCACTATATGTTCAATTCGATGTCAGTGATGGATTGTATGATTATTATAATTTTTGCAGATAGATTCGTGTCGTGATCCTAGCCCTGGAAAGAAATTCAGGAGGAAAGAGCCTTCCATGAAGATTGTAGGTATTTTCGTATTGCATCGTGAAACATAGATTTATTCCCCTATTTCTTTGTACCACGTATGCGCGAATGATATGACGAGAAAGGCCGAGAAACAGGGACCTGCATGCATACTGTACATCGGACACGGTATAAAATGAAATAATTCGTTTAGTTTTTCATTTCAAATGTATTCATCTTTACTTTAATTTTCCGTTTAGTCATCGTATTCGTTTTTGTTCAGCTGTGAACAAAAAATTTATTCGAAATTGTATTTTGTTGGGTCGTTTCACAATTGTGTATGGGTTGGGTGGTTATATAGCCGGATATTCAGAGGCCTGTGATTCTTATGCAACATTTTATATCATTACACAAACGAGCAACAAATCCACAAATGTTAGACGAGAAATTTCAATATAATTTTCATGGTCTGGAAAGCTAAATAAAATGTCTTCTTTCCCTAAAATCAAAAACATATAGCTAACATCATATTGGTTAAACGCATAAATCCCCATTTGCACATAATATTAATACTATAACGGCCGGTCAACGGACAATGACCGGCCAAAAATGCCTCTTGACCGGTCACTTTTTACCTCACCGGTCATTTTGACCGGCAACATTTTCATCTTGAATTAAAACGTGAAACTATGATCTATCGAAACAAATTTCTAATAGTTTGTTTCACTGTTAGTGTAAACGTATCAATGACCGGTCAAAAACAGATTTTGACCGAGCTAAAATCAATTAAGTGACCGGTCATTTTGACCGGAGACCTATCTCGCGTTATTTTGAGCCCTGGTAATGATACATAGAATTTCAATATAGCGCTAAACCTACAGTGCTCTAAAGCTCTTTACATTCATATCGCATTAAAAAATATGGCCCAAACCTAATTTACTTGTATAAGAAAGTTTAAAAAAGTGCGTTTTTAAATGTCTTTTAAAAGTGCTAAAGCAAGTCTCAAGCTGTCTGGTAAATTACAAGAAGGGTACCAATCATTGTAATATATACTCAAAATATTACCCCTAGCGGTTATCATTTTTGCGCAACGTATGTTTTTAGGATGATGACGTCATTGAGATGGAAGAGGACACTAAAATTCTTCAAAAGGCTGATCCTGCATTTCAAGAAACCTTAGTGTGCGAAGTCGTCCCAGATCCAATGGAAGGAGAGCAAACATGGCCGACAGATGAAGAGATAAAGGAAGCCGGTACAGTATAGTTTTCATTATTAATCGCAATAATCTCATGCAATAGACCTTTATAAAAAGGTTGACGTCAGCAGGTTTGTGACGTAGTTTGCGGAGGAAATCCCGAAAGCTAAGAGTTGTTTAGTCTTTGACTGCGTCTGCTAAACAAGCGAGAGAGTTTTTCTACCGAATAGACCTTCTTCACGTATTTTGAGTCAATTTAAAATTTGATTGTAGCACTCTCTAAATACCAAAAATGGCCAGGGCAGTTCAAAATAAGTAAGTACACCAAATTTGGAGAGTACATTTTAAAAACTGTGTCATTTAATTGAAATATTGAAAACTAATATACCTCGTTTGACGTAATTTCGTGGTATATTGAAAAACAAAAGCAGGAAAATACAAATGGCTTACTCAAAGGAAAGGTTCACCGACCTTTTTTGTGTATTCCGACAAATAAATAATAAACAATTTATGAATTTGGTTCTCGCAGGCTATGAGGAATTATTAAGACCTCGGTTTCTGTTATCTCTGCCTTTATAATTCCTCATATCCTACTCGATCTCATTCAATAATTGTTTATTATTATATGGCAAGCATCACTTCCGGTGAAATGACGGGTTGTGATTGGCTAAGAAGCACTTTCAGCCGTCCGTTATTTTCCCTTACGTAAAAACAAACGCATGCATTTTGAAACAAAACGGCAAAACTAATTTCAAATTATAATTTAATTTGTTATTAATAAGATATCTGTGAATTGTTTTTAGTGGAAAAGAAGGAATTTGTTTTCTTCCACCAAATGTGTACATGCTACTAATATGCATTTCAAATCATGCATTTCTTGTTTGTTTTGGGTATAAATGCCTATAAATGCCATATAATAAACTTTTTATTAACCTCGCTTGCTCAGTATGTACAAAGAAATATCGGACCTCCGTCTTTTTGTACAAACCTCGCCTTAGTATACGGGCTCGGTCTGTACAAAAAAGACCTCGGTCCGATATTTCTCTGTGCAGACCTCGCGTTCGGTTAATAAGAAGTTAATATAGGGAGATTTTTTGTGGTAATTATGACATTCACAACCATCTTCGTAACGCTTACTAAAAACAGCAATAGAGGCACATATAGCTGGTCGGTAATGCAAATCCTATATTTTACACTTATTTGACAGTTAATTTACAAACTTCAATATTTTGCATTTAGAACTGACTCGAAGCAATCGAATTGTAAAGAAAGTCCCTAAAGGCACGTCTGAGTATCAGTCATCATGGATATTGGAGGATGATGAAGATCATGGCGAGAATGATAACGGTTCAGATGAGGACAGCACGGGTGAAATTATGGAAGATGAAATGATAGCGGAGATGAAAGACGATAGCACTGAGGAAACCGTATGTATCCATGTATGTTATCCACAAGACCACAACACGCATGTAAATATGCAAATTCTTGATGTCGAATATGCACTGTGCGTTGTATTTATCGACAAACCATGCCAATCGTGATTCGCACAGTACAACAGCTCTGGTCATTAATCACCTATCCATATATAGTACACAGTAATTTTAACTGTGCCTTTCCCTAGAAAGAACTCTAAAAATATGCGGAAACAAATTGACTGACAATATTTTAAACACCAGACCTAGAACTACAGTGCTGTGCCTTAGAGCATGCACAACACAACGAGTGCACGCGCGAAGACATACTAGTTTTGAATAAGTATCACAAGTGTATGATCCCAAACAAACTAACAGAATATCAAACTCACGCAGCAAATATAAAGCAATGCCTATAACTTCGTTTGGGCACAGCAATCTACTAATTATTACTTGGTCATATAGCAGGGCCAGAAATAGCGGAATGTCAATGGCCAAAGGCATGCAGGTCATATATTTCAGAAATGGCAGGCGAAAAATAAGTCAATTTCGCCTGCCAAGTTAAAAATAGAATGGCAGGCGAAATTGTAAAAAAACAACGGCGTCCAATGGTCGAGGATACAATGGATTTGCAGTTTGCCATACCGTCATGCTTGAGTGAGACCATTGTGGCAGTCCAATTAACGGCAGTCGCTATCCCCCTTCCCCCTTGTGTATCCTGTACACAAGGATCTGCTTCTAATAGAACATTTTGTTCCTTAGGATGGCGAGCGGGAAGAGAGAGAGGAAATAGAGTTGGAGGAATACGAAACGGTTTGTGCAGTTTTCTAATTTCTCTAATTTTATTTTTACTGCTAACCATTGGTTATATCACCGGTATGATCAGTATATATACAGTAGATGACCAGTTATATGATGCTGGTTATACTTGATGCTGTTGAAGACTTGTAATTGGACTATTTTATCTATCGGGATGCCCGTGACAACTGTACTATGAGACGTTCATTTGAGCACTACATGTGCTCCCTTGGTAATTAGCGAATTTATTTGAAAGCATAAACTTGTTATTGTTACCCTGTATGAAATACCATGTTTATTACTTTTACCTTTGTCTCTATGAGTGCTCCAACACGTCCCTTTAATTTCATTAACTTTGTAAACAGAAAAATCGCTAGGAAACGAACGGTCTGTACCAGTGTACAGGGGTATAGTGCCAATAATAAGAAAGTAATATACAACTACCTGAAAAATATAAGGAGAACTTTGAAGTTACCTCTTTATTTTTCAGGTAGTACTAGTTGTATCCCTATCAATCCACAGCTTTCTCTGAAATCTACTCTACATAATCTACATTCTACAATACTGTTTACGGTACTACTTTGCTTTTCACGTTTTACATCAAACCCCATTTTGATCGGAATCTATTATCTTTATTGTTTAACATAGATCAGTGTGGCGACGGATACGCAAGATAGTAGATATGATGAAAAGTACCCAGATGATGATCGTGCAGAGTAAGACGTTTTTGTCCAGAACGGACATAATTCATAAGTTATAGTTTATATTTGTTAATAATAAGTTAAAGATCACGTGCGAACTGACTTCCGGTTTAATTCCGGGAAAAACACTTGACAGTGAACTTGTAAACAAGGTGATCGAGAGCGAATTTAGAGGGTTCTTACAAATAAAACATTAAAATACAAACGTGACGTACTTGTGTTGGGTTAAACAATCCCTGACAATTGGCACCCCTGATGGGACGAGAATAACTGGATATTTTAGCGATTATCATGGATGAAAAACTACACAAATTATCGAAGACGATCGATACGAAAATACAACTACTGTAATTTACAAACGAAGCGACGGCGAATATATTGGGAAAACGAAATTTTACGGCAATCGAAAGGCAGCGAATGACATTGGAAAGCTTGTTTTTGATTTTCTGCCAACGCCTTTTCGTGTTCTAATCGACGTTCAAATTTCTCTTTTTCGAACTTTAATTCGTCTTCAAACTGTTTACGTTTAGCTTGTATTACTAACTTTTCTTTGCCTTTTAGTTTAGTTCGTCGCATTTGATCTCCTTTTCCGAATGTTTTAGCTCCGAAATAGCGTTCTCAAATTCCACGAGCTTGCCTTCGATAGTTGAGCTCCAATCCCGTATTCCGTCTGTTTCGTCGCCTTTTTCGAGTTTTAATTCTTGACTTCTTCGATCTTAATCAACAACAACAAAACTGCCCAAGCTTGTTATAACCAAATTCAATGGACAACATACGGACTGGCTAAGATTTTGGGGACAGTTCAAGGCAGAAATCGACAACTCGGACGCATCTAAAATAACAAAGTTTTCTTATTTAAAAGAGCTCATCGAACCGAAAGTTCGTTCTTGTATTGATGGTTTGCCGTTTACATCGGAGGGATATGAGCGAGCGAAGAACATTTTGAAGATAAAACATGACAAGAATAGTGAAGTAATCAACATCCTCAGTTTACCAACTATCCCAGGAACTAAACCAGCTAAAATCCATGCGTTTTATGAAACCCTATTAACAAGTGTACAGTCACTCGAAACACTTGGTGAATTAAAGGAAGTGTCTGGTTATGTAAGGATGACAATCGACAACTTGAAGGAATTCGAAATGATATTACGAACAGATGATGATTGGCAAGAATGGAAATTTCCAGAGTTAATCGAAGCTCTGAGGAAATGGACGGTGAGAAACCCGGTTAAACGAGGTTTAGAGGATAGTAATTCTAATAAGCACAATCATGATAGATTAAAGAACTTTCAAGCCAGACAACAAGAATCGAAGACAAGGGGGTGTGTTTATTGTGAGGAAGCGGACCATCGATCGACAGAATGTATGAAAGGTGGTCACTGTAGCCGATCGGAGAAAGATCCTAGGAGACAAACAGCGATGCTTCAATTGCACAGGTCAACGACACAAAGCCGCAGATTGCCGAAGCCGGCAAGTATGTAAGCATTGCAAGAGAAGACACCACTCCTCCATCTGTGACAAGAAAACAAGCGACCAAGGCAAAGTTGCAAAGGACGGGGAGCAAATCCTGGTAGCGAAGGGGGAGAACCAAGTAATATATCCGGTGGTCAAGGTTGATGGAATTACTTGTCGGGCGCTTTTGGATACGGGCGCAGGGAGCTCATATGCATCAGGGGCTCCTTTGGATAGACTTAAGAAACGACCAGTGCGGAGGGAATATAAAAGGATCGAAATGATGATGCAATCTACCAGTAGAATGATTAAGGTACACCAAGTGACAATCAGTGACTAGGACGAGAAGTTTAAGCTCCAAACGGAAGTAACCAAAGTTGACCGAAGTAACCTACTCGGTGTTGAGAATCCCAGATACAAGCAAATAGTAAACCACTTCAACCATCTTAAGGGAGTCACAATGGCAGATGTTGACGAGAAATCTCAACTCCCAATCCACTTGATACTCGGCGCAAGTGAATATGCAAAGGTCAAAATTGCAACGAAGCCTCGAGTTGGTCAACCTGGTGAACCGGTAGCAGATAGTACCAAATTTGGTTGGACCTTGTTGTCACCTGGAACCGAGGACGATCTAACCAAAACATTGTTGGCAAAATCATCAGTGGAAGATTGCCGGAAACTATGCGACTTAGATGTACTTGGCTTAGAAAACCAATTGGATGGAGACGAAACAGTCTACCAAGATTTCAAAGATCAGCTGACCCAGAGCCTGGAAGGATGGTACGAGACAGGGTTGTTATGGAAACCAAACGTGGACAGTGTACCAAGTAACAAAGCAGGAAATTTAGCGAGATTGGACAAACTGCTTCAGAAGCTTGACAAGAAACCTGGACTTTTCCAACGGTATCGTGAGATAATTAAGGAACAGGAAGAGCAGGGGATTATTGAGAAAGTGACACAACAACCACAAGGAAGAGAATTCTATCTGCCACACAAACCGGTGGTAAGGGAGTCTGCTGAGAGTACAAAGGTGCGCATAGTCTACGATGCATCAGTGAGAGCCAATGACGACCCGTTATCTCTGAATGATTGCTTAGAGACGGGGCCGGCATTACAAAATCTCTTGTGGAATATTCTCGTACGTAATCGATTCATGCCAGTGGCACTCGCAGCAGATTTGAAACAAGTATTTTTGCAGAGAAGGATCAAGGAGAAAGATTGTGACGCGCTACGATTTCACTGGATCAACGAAGAAAACCCAAAAGAGATCGAAGTCTATCGATTTACACGTTCCTTATTCGGACTGAATCAATCACCATTTCCATTAGAAGGAACACTCAAGCAGCATCTTAGCAGCCAAAAAAAGGAATTCCTTACTGAAGTAACTGAAATAAGCGATGGTCTGTACGTCGATGATCTGCTGACCGGAGGCTGCGTGGTTGAAGAAGTAAAACATCTGAAGGAAACAGCAATAGAGATCTTTGACCGAGCACAATTCAAGCTTCATAAATGGCACTCAAAGATGGAAGAGTTGGAAACAAGTGATCCAGGCAGTAGTGGCACCGATAATGATCAGAGTTACGCCAAACAGCAACTGGGTGTGAAGAGCCAAGAAACGAAGCTCTTGGGAGTACCTTGGAAACAAGACCAAAGACAAGATCGGAGTTGCATTTCCTTGCACTCGTAAAGAAGTCGCCACCAAACGAATAGTGTTAAGTGAGATCGCGTCAATATTTGATCCGCTAGGGTTAGTTTCGCCAGTCAGCGTGTTGGGGAAGATGATCTACCGAGATATTTGTGACAAGGAACTGCCGTCTAATCTGATGAGTTGCTGGAATAAATGGTGTAGGAAGTTACCCAGTAAGATTGATGTCCCGAGAAGCCTGGTTCCACACAGAGAAGAGGTACAAGCCATTAACCAACATGCATTTGGGAATGCGAGTGGACAGGGTACATGTGCAGCTGTATACGCAGTAATACACCAGAATTAAGGCATAGCGCATGGCCTCGTCACGGCCAAATCACGGGTGGCGAAGAAAGGTTTAACGATCCAGAGATTAGAGTTGGTGTCGGGTCAGATGGCAATGAAGCTGATGGATAACGTAAGTTCGATGCTCGATGTATTACCAGTAAGACACTACTACGGATGGCTCGACAATATGGTCGCTTTATATTGGATTAATGGTCGTGGGAATTACAAAAAAATTTGTCGCAAATCGAGTGAACGCTTACAGCATTTATATCCCCTGGAATTACACAGAGAGAGGAGCCAAGACAAGCGACCTGAACTTGATCCAGAAGCAGCAGAGTTTAGACCGAGACGGCGAGCAGCGGAGGTAGCAAGACAAGGAATACAAGCAGTTCCACACTTTGAGGACTCGTAAGAGCAAACATTGACATTTGTCACAGCCGTGACAAATGGGGGGAGAGTGTCGAAAACGGACATAATTCATAAGTTATAGTTTATATTTGTTAATAAGTTAAAGATCACGTGCGAACTGACTTCCGGTTTAATTCCAGGAAAAACACTTGACAGTGAACTTGTAAACAAGGTGATCGAGAGCGAATATAGCGAGAGATTTAGCGAGAGATTTAGGGGGGGTTTTCCTACAAACAAAACATTAAAATATAAACGTGACTTACTTGTGTTGGGTTAACAATCCCGACATTTTTGTTTCTGCCTCATTGTAAGGATAACAACGCATAAAGTGGCGCGGTAGTAAAGTCGTTGAATCATTCCATCTAGTTAAGGCCTGTCCATACGCGGGCTACTCACCTTCTGCATTCATGTGACCGTTCTTATCCCACCTGACTGGGACGAAATTGCAAAATAATAAACAACCTAACTCGAAACTATTTTCTCGTTGACAGTCGTGGTGGCAGTGATTGTATAGTACAGTATGTGGTATTACGTCTGAGATGGTATTTGTCTAAGGTTTTTACCAGCAAGACAGCAGCAAGAATTTTTGGGGGTTATCCAAACAAGCACGGTCAGTCAGAAGCTACACTGACTGAGCTCGGTTGGAGAACACTTAACGAACGGCAGACTAGTATCCATAGCCAGGATCGTGTATAAGATTCATAGTTTTGCTCCTGCGATGCTTACTACTTACGAATTTCTGACATGAAGCTTCTTCCTTTCTCTAAATCGAAATAATGTAAAAAAGTGTATAGGTTACAGAGGTGCCAAATTGTGGAACAATTATAACCAGTTGAACTAAAAACGCTGAAAGCTTAGCTAGATTCAGTTCGCTTTTACGTGCAACTAGCCTGATATGATTTCATTTGTAGTACACTTAGTTATGTAATTTTAAATTTATATCCTTAATAGGCTTAGCTTTTAAGGAATAACGAATCTCACTCACGCAGGTGACATTCGGAATCCCACTTAGCCAGCTACGGTGTACGAGGTCCCTACGGGGATTAGTGTGTCTTATCAAATAGAAGTAGGTGTGACCCCCATGAATTACTGAAAATCCCCCTCCTTCCCCATAACCTTATTACAGCTAACATGAAAGGAAAATATTTTAGGAAAGAATAATGTAAACAGGCTATTTAGCAAATATTTATCCAGTATTAGATGCAGAAATAGGACTAGGACAGGGTGAAACATACAGTAGCTTTACATTGCGATAAAATAATATATTTCTGATTTATTTATGGCGTCGTTTTGAAGACGTACTGTATTATATTATTCTTAAATTTGTAATAAACTTCATTTCTGCCTAGAATTTTTTAAATCTGTATCTGCTTTATGTAGATTAGAGAAAGAGCGAGCGGAACGTGAAAATGAGATGTTCCCGGATGAAATCGACACTCCGTTTGATGTACCTGCTCGTGTGCGATTTCAAAAGTAAGAATCTGTAGTTGACATATTACTTGTATTCTGATGTAGAGGATAAGGTTGTTAAGCAAAACATCTACCATATGCTTGTTGTTTTAGATATAGAGGACTAAAGAGTTTCAGAACCTCTCCATGGGATCCAAAAGAAAATTTACCGTCGGATTATGCCAGGTACGAAACTGAAGAGTTCTTATAATCAGTAGAAAATTTCATTTTTTTAATTAACAGAAAGAGCTTTTGAGAAATGTATGATTAAACTATCTGTATTTGAAATGTGCATCATCTACCACTAAAATGTAATATTTTGAATTCAAGAGGTTCATCTATAGAGAACGTAGTTTAGCAAATACACTACAGCATACTTACTAAACGAACTTACTGTACAGGGAGCTTATTCCATGCCAAATATTTATATATTTTCTACTTCACTTACGTTGTATATATGTGTACAACGTGGCATCTTCTGACGTTTCGCCCCGGATTCGGGTTTTGCTTGTTATGCTATGTTGCTCGTCATGGTTACCCTAAAATATAAACTCATATGCAGGTCCTAGACTACTATTCGATTGCCTAGTAAGGTTTACGATTTTATCTCTGGTAACCTCTCCCCTCCATTTTTATCTTCAAACCTCATTGGTAGAGTATCCATGTTTTAAGGATTTTTCAGTTTGAAAACTTTGATCGAACTAAAAGACGAGTCTTAAAAGCTGTGGAAGACGAAGTAGCTTTGGTATGTATTATGTATTTATGCATGCATGGTGTTGAATTGCAATCATGATGTAACTGATTTAGAATAAACCTACATGTATGATTTGTTGAAACAACTGAATGTTATGTATGCCCCTGATATTATGTAGTACCATGAAAATCTCGTCGGCAAGGTTTTGTCGACATAAAATGAAAGCTAAAAAAGGGGTGTGTTTCAGTATTCTCCACGATAGGATTTTTTAAATCGGTGTATGGTGTGTTCTATAACACACCAAGATGTATTTTTATAAATTAGTATATGGATGTGTGTTGTCGAACGCACGAAGATGTGTTTTCATTAAATTTGCATTTATCAAAGGTGCCAAAGAAAAGGTGTGTAAAGTAAAACTAACTTCCTTATGAATTTTCAGAAATGTACACATTTCATGTAGAAATGTCATTCATTCCTTCCTTCCTTGCTTGCTTCCTGAAAGAAATACTGTTTGTCGAAGTTAGGTTGACAATGGGGGAAATATCAAAATATTTCCACAACGATCAAACACTGTTTCCTAGTTTTCGTAGGTATATTAGTATTTATTATATACACAAGGTCTGGATATGAGGTATTCTGCAATCTGATTGGTTCTCTACTAGCAGGATATTAGCTCATATCCTGCTAGTAGAGAAAAACAAAATGGCGGCCAAACTGAATTTACGATGTT